GTAAAGAACATCATTCGAAATTGTCAGCAATGTAAAAACAAAAAAGCCAGGCCGCAACCACCTCTAATGGGTCAGCTTCCAAGTTGCCGTATAAAGCCAACCGAAAGAGCCTTTTTGAAAGTAGGTATTGATTATTTTGGGCCTATAGAAGTTACACAAAATAGAAGCCATGTAAAGCGTTACGGTGTTATTTTCACATGCATGACAACACGAGCAGTTCATCTTGAGATTGCTGAAGACCTATCCTGCAATGCGTTTATGCATGTGTTTAGACAATTTGGTTGTAGGCGAGGATTTCCGACAGAATTATATTCAGACAACGGAACCAATTTCAGACGCGCTGACAAGGGCATAAAAGAAATCATAGAACAGTGGCCAAATGACAAGTTTACTCAGTTTTTAACCACGAAAGGTTGCACTTGGTACTTTAACCCGCCATTGTCCCCTCACATGGGAGGAGCTTGGGAGAGGCTCATACAGTCAGTCAAGAAATATTTAGGAGTTCTACTAAAAGAGAGATATCCTAGAGAGTACACTTTGAAAACTTTGTTTTGTGAGATCGAGTTTGTGATTAACAGTAGACCACTTTTGATTGTTCCTTCAGACTCCATGTCGGAACCATTAACGCCAAATGACTTGTTAATTGGTTCTAATTATCGCGAATCCTTTTACACTAACACCAATGATAATGATTTGAGACTGTTAAATATGTGGAAATCGTCACAAAGACTTGCAGACATTTTTTGGTTGAAATGGAAAAAAGAATATAGACAATTTTTACTATGTAGTCGTAAATGGACAAAAGACAGTAATGTTTTAAAAGAAGGTGATGTAGTTTTGATAATGGAATCCGACCTTCCTAGATATGTTTGGCCAAAAGGCATAATTGTCAAAACGTATCCATCAAATGATGGGCGTGTGAGAATTGTTGATGTAAAAATTAAAGACCATATTTATAAGAGACCTGCAGTAAAAATAATTAAACTAGATGTAAGAACAGATACATTGTAAACTCTAAGTATTGCCGTCGTCTATACTTAATTTTCCACGACTCCAATACTTGGGAGGAGGATGTTGATGCATTACATTAATTTGAATTTGATATGTTGATGTTATGTCATTGTGTTATGTAAGAAAAATACTAAACTGTTATCGAAATCTCGTATGTATCACCGAATGAAAGACGGTCACTCTAGTCGGCAAAAAGAGACGCCACTTGCATATAAAATTCTTGAAGTACACGAGTTGACGAGCGCAAAAGCTCAAATATATTGCAAAAGATCCAAAAATAAGTGATCAGCATATAACAGGTGTTTTCTTCAAACGAATCTTTCGACGACTACAACGACAGTGGCTTGTGTGGGCTAGAAGTCGGTCTTTCGAGCCCCATAATCCTTAATCGGTATAACCCTTACCAGGTAATTACCCCAACACTCCCTGTTAAGTTTTTTTCGGCTGGATAAAATGGCAGCTGATATCACAAGGCCTACTAAGATGAAGTTATATAATCTGGAATATAAACAAAACGTAACCAGCTGATTGAAAAATCAAAGCTTTTCGCTTAACAGCTTAACTTTGTGCTTAGCATCACTCTGTAATTGTTGGCTGTCACAGAATTGAGCTAAAAAAGCGACCATACAGTGCACTATGGGGACTTTGAACACTTTTTTTTGCCAAAACCCATTGTTTAAAAGTCGTTAAGAATTGATTTTGTTAATCAGAATGCATCAGAATAACATCAATATCTAATGCTTCTAACAGAAAAGTTTAACAGTGCGCACCACTGTTAAGGTATCTGCTGTGAAAGCCTTTTTTTATTTCCACGAGGCGGCAGCGCTGGTAAATCTCCTTTTATTCCTAATAGTTTAAATAGTTAAAAAGTGTAAAACTAAACAAAGCACGGCAGTTTTTGAAATTCAATCAGAGGGACTTGTAACTTGTGTTTGTGACCTTGACATTGTATTTATTGATTGTGGTGCCCGTATATTCGTGTTCTAGTTCTAACCTCAAAAAAAAACAAAATCATTAAGTTAATTTGTATTTTTAAATGGAGCTACAAAGTGATCCAGCTGTTTCCACCTCTGAAACCTTTTATGTCTTGTAGAGTATTTAGTTCTCATTGAGCTCGGTTAGTATAAAAGTGCGCTTTTGCGCACTTTCCCTAAAATTTAGTTTTAAAGACCTATACCTAATACTGTATATTTCTCGCATTTTTGTCTGTTAAATGCCAATCTCGATGTTATCTTAAAAAAAAACAGTGTGCAATTATATTTCTTAATAAATAACGATTATTTTAAAATTATTTTACAACATCATTTCACTTACCTAACGTTGATATAAAGGATTTTAGGATTTTTGTTAAGAATTATAGTGGTAACAATATAAACAAGGAAGAACGCTATAGTCGAGTACCTCGCCTATCAGATACCCGTTACTCAGCTAAAGGGACCACAGGGAAATGGAGATATGCACGCAGCAAAGCGAGATTAAAATGCGCCACCTACCGGCGGTAGACAGATTTAAGCGATATGGGCGTTAGAGTGGGCATGGCAATTTGTTTTTGATCAATCGATAGGTATTGACGAGACCAATACTTTTCAGTTAAAATTATTTATCTAGCATGCAAATTGTGGGCGTCAAAGGTTTTCGCGGTTTGCGGGCGTTAAAGTGGGCGTGGAAAATTTTTTTGGGGTCAATCGATAGGTATTGATGAGAACAATACATTTCAGTTAAAATTTTTATTCTAGCATTAAAACTGTAGGAGCCACAGTTTTGTGCGGTTTGTGGGCGTTATAGTGGGCGTGGCACTCTGCTGAAACAAACTTGCGCTGCGTAAGAAGCTCAGGAATCTGCACGCCAAATCTCAATAGCCTAGCTCTTATAGTTTCCGAGATCTCAGCGTTCATCCGGACAGACAGACAGACGGACAGACGGACATGGATAGATCGACTCGGCTAGTGATCCTGATCAAGAATGTATATACTTTATGCGGTCGGCAACGCTTCCTTCTGCCTGTTACATACTTTCCGACGAATCTAGTATAGCCTTTTACTCTACGAGTAACGGGTATAAAAATTACAATTTCACTTAAAAAATAGAAAATAAAAAACGCCAATATTTTTTTTAGTTCAGTTTGGTTTTCCTAAAAAAAAAATTATGATAAAAATATTTTTATTTAATTAACAAGAAAAAAAACATTTTTTTTTTAAAGGAGGAATCACGCCTATTTTATTTATTTTATTCCTTTTAAATTTTATATACCTAATTTAAAAAACAAAACATTTAAATGTTGCTTCGTTTTTAAGTTTTTAATTAATGCCACAAAAAGGAGGAAAATTCCCCATAGTGCAGTGCTTGCACTAGCTGTTTTTATACCCGTTACTCTTAGAGTAAAAGGGTATACTAGATTCGTCGGAAAGTATGTAACAGACAGAAGGAAGCGTTTCCGACCCCATAAAGTATATATATTCTTGGTCAGGATCACTAGCCGAGTCGATCTATCCATGTCCGTCTGTCCGTCTGTCTGTCTGTCCGGTGCAGATTCCGTGCAGATTCCTGAGCTTCTTACGCAGCGCAAGTTTGTTTCAGCAGAGTGCCACGCCCACTATAACGCCCACAAACCGCCCAAATCCGTGGCTCCTACATTTTTGATGCTAGAATACAAATTTTAACTGAAATGTATTGTTCTCATCAATACCTATCGATTGACCCAAACAAAAAATTGCCACGCCCACTTTAACGCCCACAAACCGCTCAAGCCTGTGACGCCCACAATTTTCATGATAGATACAAAATTTTAACTGAAATGTATTGCTCTCGTCAATGACTATCGATAGATCCACGCCCACTCTAACGCCCATAACGCTTAAATCTGTCTACCGCCGGTAGGTGGCGCAATTTAATCTCGCTTTGCTGCTTGCATATCTCCATTTCCCTTTCGTCCCTTCAGCTGAGTAACGGGTATCTGATAGTCGAGGTACTCGACTACAGCGTTCTTCCTTGTTGGTTTTTATTTTGGTTGAGATTAGAAAATTGAATCTTAATAGGCGCTGTCCAATCAGCTGTCATTTTATCGAACCGAAAAATACTGTCAGAGTTAGCATTCACATTGACTCGACATATCCAAATTATCTTAGCAGAAATGTAAGCCGGCACTCGAGAAATCGGCCCTTGGGCAGTATTGTGAATTTTTTTGAAGTATAAATAACTTTATAAAGCGAAACTAAAGATATGAAATAAAACACGGAGATGCCAAAATATGTTCATAAAAAATCATTAAAAAATAGTTTTGACTTTTTTTATCGAGGGTTCAAACTCTACTGGGAACTACCATTCTTCTTTTTGGGCATTTTGGTTGTAAGCTAGAGTAAATAATATCCATCTACCCATCCAAACATGTTTAATATTCACTTTCCAAATCTTCAAAAAGGTCTGTCTAGTCCCTTAGCGTTGTTAGCGATTGTGAGCGACAAAATAAACTTGCACTAAAGGAGATGCTTGGGAATCTAATTCTACAATTTCAACTCTCCAGCTCTTATAGTTTCCAAAATCACAGCGCTCACCCGGAGAGACGGACATGACTAGATCTACTCGGATAGTGATCCTCATCAGGAGTATATATCCTTTATGAGGTCGAAAACGATTTATAGGGTCGGAAACGCTTTCTTCTGTCTGTCACATACTTTCCGAAAAACCTATTATACCCTTTAACTCTACGAGTAAAATATATAAAAATGTAGTTCTGTTGTACAAACATTTACAACTCAGATAAAAACGAAAAAATTCTCTGTGTGTATGTACATTATTCATATGTACATACCGTAAGTGAAAGAGCTTTAGCCCCTATATTTATCTTTCAGCACGAACTTTTGAGGAACAGCTGATGTGTTTAAAAGAGCGTGACAATGAAAATGTTTTCATTATCGATGCGTTTTCTGTTCTCTCAGGCTCTGTGAGAGTCACACCATTCACTCTCACTTGGTGCTCCAACAATCGGCTCCAAAGCGACACATTCGCGGTTTGTCAGTCGGCGGAACCACTCTTCGCTTCACTGAACGCTCTTTACGTTTCTGATATACAATTTTTAAAAAGGGAGTGATCTTTAAAACAACACCAATAAGTTTGAAAGACATTAATAGCGAAATGAAGTGCCGGTATGGATGGGGCTTCCTCGGAGGTGGCGCCAATGGCGCAGTTCTGGTCGGACTACTTTGCGGATTTTTTGTCTGCAACGTCCGCTGTGATAAGGTGGAAATAATAGAGCTTGGCAATTGGACGATAACAAATCAGAATAGATGTGAGTTCAATTGATAGAAAGCTGATTGCAAAGAGCCTTTTTCGCTGCATAGTTGTCAAGTATCAATTATCAATCATCTTTAACAGTAATTTAAATTATTCTAATGTGTTTAGGAAGAGTACGTATCTCTATGAAAACTTTGTTATGCTGATGATGATGTTTTGTATACCTTACCTTCCTTCACAGCCCTAACCATTGCCAACCAAACGCTGCCTTCGGGAATATACAGTGCTTTTGCGCCCCAAGTGCTGGACTCGTACAACGACGTCGAACTGCGTTATTTGGCCTACGACAATTGGACCTACTCGAATCTCTTTCAATGTAAGATTCAGCAATTGATTTTTTACATTTTATGCAAAAGAAAGAAAGTAGAGGAACTATATAGTTGAGTGGACTACAAGATACACGTTACTCTCTTACACAATTTTAAAATAAATAAAATGTTAAACAATGATAATGTTGTTAAACACACATGAAGACATTAATCTTATGACACTGACGTTATTGACCATGATAGCCCTTACAACATAATGCTTTAAGGGGTTTTCGGGGATTCTTATTTATTATAAGAAAAAAGAGGTTTTTAAATTTGTCGTTGCTGTGTTTTAAAGTAAATTATTTCACCTTTTAACGGAGTTATAGTTAAACTGCCGGACCTCTATCGACTTCAAGTTCCTTGCGGTGGAAGAAAGGCTTATCTGAAATCCAAACTGTAAAAACATTTGATTAGTTTAATCATTTATCTTGTCGCTCATCGAAGGAGTAGGAAAATTTTTCAAAATGTTCGGTTTTGAACCAAAAAAAAGATTTTCCGACGTAAAAAAAAACTTTTTTGGCTATAAAATTTACAAATTTTAAAACAAACATTTTTTTGTTCAGCGACAAGTTATTTTTTTTTTTATTAGCAGCAACAAAATAAAAGCGATCGGATCTATTTATCGGAAGCGTGACCACCACGACAACATTTTCGGGAAAACATCGTTACGAGATAATCGCGTTTAAAGTTTTAAGTTTACTTTTTGGGTGGCTAGAGGTACTTAACTATAGAATGCTAAATCTTACGTGTTTAAGGTCCGATCGGTATGATTTTTTATGCTATTATTCTTAAAGAAAATTCAAAATCAAAACTTTAGACAATTTATTTTTTTTTTTAATGTACGAATGTGTAATATAAAAAACAAAATTTTTTTTTTGTGCGACAAAAATGAACAAATTAATAAAAAGTACCGTGGGAAAAATCTAAAAAAAATTACCAACAGCGCTTTCAACATTCTTAATTGTATCCACTACGCGTAGGGCAAAAGAGTACATAAGATTCGTCGGAAAATATGTAACAGGTAGAAAGAAACGTTTGCGACCCTATAAAGTATATATTTACTTAATCAGGATCACTAGCCGAGTCGATCCACTCATGTCCGTCTGCCTGTCCGTTCGTATGAACTCTGAGATCTCGGAAACTATAAAAGCTATAAATGGGGATTTGACATGCAGATTCTAGAGCTTCTTGTGGAGCGCAGTTTTTTAATGTTTCGTTATATCATAAAAATCATAAAAATATAAGCAAATACTATCTAAGGGAATAAGATAAACCTTTCGTTTAGCAAGTCCTCAAATTCATATTTTATGCACAAAGCCGGTCTCAAAACAAAATCTAATTTACCATGGATTTTTACCAATTATGTCTTGCTTTGATCGAATTCTAACGATTTCAACAGAAGCTTTACAGTCACCAAGTTGTTAAAGTCGTAAAGTTATTTCAATGTTTGCTGAGTTCTAGCTCAATATTATTCCCTACATACTTTCCGGTGAATCTAGAGTGCCCTTTTACTCTTCGATTAACGGGTATAAATATAAACAAGAGAGAAGTTGTTAATCATCTAAGAAAAAAGGGCCACCTATCGTTCATTAATACCGGCTATTAACGAGATTTTACAAACACGCCACATAACGTGAAACCTAGGTGGCGCTAGTAGAATTTCGTAAGCAACCGCTTTGCCAATATCAATACTCAGATAATAAGAACAAAATTTAAATTTTTACAAAATATTAAAAAAAATGTGGGCTCTAGACTGTCTTTAGCGTTATGGGCGATTGTAGACGTTTAAGTGGGCGTGGCACCCTGGTACAAAAAACTTGCGATGCGCAGGAAATCCAAGAATCTGCATGCTGAATCCCAACATTTTAGGTCTTACAGTTTCCGAGATCTCAGCGTTCATATGGACGGACAATGGAAGATCTACACGGCTAGTGATCCTTTTTTACGCTTCCTTCTACCTTCCTTTTACCTAGTTTAATATCATTGTTGATTTTAAAGGATTATCTAATTGGTAACCAAATGGCATATTTAAATTGGTTTTGCGACCAAGTAAATGAGCTTTTGGTTGAAAACTGTGGGATGAATTCAAGTTTAAAATCAAAATTTTACGATCTTTAAGATGTCCTGAAAGTCCTTTAACGCCGAATTTCACAAGATCCTTTATTTTCACAATATCTTTATTTCACCCCTCCATAGCACGATTAAACCCAATTTTCCAAATTTGAACTCCCTTGGCATGCACATTAGGATGAATTACATTTTTTTGGCATAAATTTTAAAAATACAGATTTCAAATTTTTTTTACACAATAGTCAGATTATAGCGAAATTTTGGTTTTTATTATTTTTATACCCGTTACTCGTAGAGTAAAAGGGTATACTAGATTCGTCGGAAAGTATGTAACAGGCAGAAGGAAGCGTTTCCGACCCCATAAAGTATATTCATTCTTGATCAGGATCACTAGCCGAGTCGATCTAGATGTCCGTCTGTCTTTCCGTCCGGATGAACGCTGAAATCTCGGAAAATATAAGAGCTGGGCTATTGCGACTTGGCTTGCAGATTCCTGTCTTCTTACGCAGCGCAAGTTTGTTTCAGCAGAGTGCTACGCCCACTCTAACGCCCACAAACCGTCCAAAACTGTGGCTCCTACAGTTTTGATGCTTGAGTAAAAATTTTAACTGAAATGTATTGTCCTCATTATACCTATCGATTAACCCAAAAAAAGTTTGCCACGCCCACTTTAAAATCGACTTTAATAAAAAATCGTATATATGAACGCGGATATCTCAGAAACTATAGAAGATAGAATATTGGGATTTCAGATTTAGATTCCGTAGCCTTGTACGCAATGCAATATTGTTACGCAAAGATGCCACGCCCACAAACCGCCCAAGTCTGTGGTGCCCACAATTTTAGTGCTATATAAAAAATTTTAACTGAAATGTATTTGCCTTGTTAATACCTATCGATTGATCTAAAAAAAAGTTTGCCACGCCCACTCTAACGCCCACAAACCGCATACGCCTGTGGCGCCCACAATTTTCATGCTAGAAAGAAATGTTAACTGAAATGTATTATTCTCGTCAATACCTATCGATTGACCCCAAAAAAAGTTTTCCACGCGCACCCTAACGCCCATAATCTGCACGCCAAATCTCAATAGCCTAGCTCTTATAGTTTCCGAGATCTCAGCGTTGATCCGGACGGACAGACGGTCATGGATAGATCAACTCGGCTAGTGATCCTGATCAAGAAAATGTATACTTTATGGGGTCGGAAACGCTTCCTTCTGCCTGTTACACACTTTCCGACGAATCTAGTATACCCTTTTACTCTGCGAGTAACGGGTATAATGACGAACATGTCACCCCTATGTGGCTTGGGCTGGGGGACCAAGACAGAAATCGACTTAAGCATTTTTTTTAGAAATTAGGAGAACCATTTTTTATAGTAACCCTTAAGTTAGCATATTATGTAAGAGTAGCTGTTTAATATTTCAAATCAGTAATTCGATGGGCTGGTCCCATTTTCTTTTATATTAGTCAATTTTACCAAATGTTTTTTTTGTATGTAGCACTAGTTACACCCAAAATGCACCAATAAGGATGTTGGTAATATTTGGTAGATCACAAAAAACACTACAATTTTTTATGAAAAAGGTTTTTTTAAAGAAAATTATTTTGGTATATCGATGTTTATAGTTATATCTTTAGTTGTGCTTGAATAATTTAGGTAAAATACGTTTTAGTTTACAACTATAATGACACCCTTTTATTTTATTGTGAACTACAACTCGGCAACTCGAAAATTTTGAATTTTTAAACAAACTAGTGACGTTTAGGCGACTGTTGATACCATAAAAACGTACCATTCTTAAATTATTATAATATATTATTATGCAAACAATTCAAACAAGGCATATTTGAACAAAACCCATGGTAAAATAGACTGCATTTAATTTTTTATAGCTCTCATAGTTATGGCGGCAACAGCTTTGCGCTTGATATTTGAAGCAGTGTTGTTTATATTATTAAAAAACTTCATATTTTCAAAGTTTGCGGAGTTGTAGCTTTTTTTTATGTAGCCTATTCATATATCACCTATGTTGGTGAAGCCCAAGTCAAGATATAATTAAAAACACGAAGTTACCAAAACCAATTTCTTTAAAAAATCAATAACAACGAAGAACGCTGTAGTCGAGTGTCTCGACTATCAGATACCCGTTACCCATCTAAAGGGAGCAAAAAGAAGATGGAGATATACTAGCAGCAAAGGGAGAATGTAAAGCGCCACTTTAATGCGCATCCTACCCCCGATTTCAATAAAAGGTACTGTGGGCGGCAGACAGATTTCGGCGATATGGGCGTTTGTGGGCGGTAGAGTAGGCGTTGCAAACTTTTTTTTAAGTTAATCGATAGGTATAGACGAGACTAATCCAATTCAGTGAAAACTTTTTTCCAGCAGGCAGCGTTTTGGTCGGTTTGTGGGCGTCATTCGTATATTCTTATATTTTCCGAAGTCACAGCATTTACACGGGCAGACGGACATGGCTAGATCGACTCGGCTGATCAAGAATATATATACTTCATGGGGTTGGAGACGCTTGTTCTACCTGTTACATACTTTTCCCCGAATACAATATACCCTTTTACTCAACGAGTAACGGGTATAAAAATAAACTTACCCTTTACAATTTCTGTAGTCATCTTTTTTTTGATCTACGGGTCTAACTCTACTAGAAACTAGCATCATTCTTCTTGACCCATTTTCAAAATATTATTTTGTAAGCAAGTGATTGATATCCAAAAAAACATCATTTACACTTTTACAAAATCTTAAAGAAAATGTAATACGTTTACCGTTTTGGGCTTTGCAGTGGGTGTTGCGAACTTTTTTTTAGGTCATTCAATAGCTATTAACGAAACAACACTTTTCAATTATAATTGTATTCCAGCATTATAAGCGGTTTTGAGCGTTACAAAGAAATAAATAGTTAGACTTAATTGTTTATTTTTCTAATAACAATCGGCACAGTCGACGTCCATCATTATAAACGCGGCCACATCAATCTGACATTTTACGGCATTGATGCCGTGGCGGAAATCCGGCTCAACCACCAACTGCTAGGACGGACAGACAACATGTTTGTGCGATACTCCTACGAAGTGAGCTCCCTGGTCCAAGCAGAAAACTTTCTGGAGGTTGAGATCAAGTCTCCCGTACTAGCTGCCTTGGCGAGAGCTAAATATTTAAATAATGATAAAAAAAGCGTTCCACCGGAATGCCCCAACGAGCGCTACCATGGCGAATGCCACATGAACATGTTGCGGAAGATGCAGGCTAGCTTCTCCTGGGACTGGGGTCCAGCAGCCCCCTCCGCTGGGATATGGAAAAAGGTGCAGCTAGAAATCTACGAAGTTGCCGTAATCCGCGACGTGGATGTGGACGTCAGCCTCATCAACGGCTCTTATTGGAACATGCATATTCGCTGCTACTTGGACGCAGTGGGAGAACAGGACTTTAATGGAAGGCTTATTCTATACGCTGTGTAAGTTACCTTGCTCCGATTCTATTAAGCGCCTTACTTACGGGCATTACGAATTGCAGCGAGTTATTGGACCATCCGGTGGTCGTAGACAGAAACGCATTGAAAACCATCAGTCGTTTGACTCCACTAATTGAGTTTGATCAGGCCGTGCCAATTGTGAGTACCGGTTGCTATTTATATTGACACGAATAAGTGCACTGTCTGAATATCAGTGACATGAGCCGTATTCACTTCGCAGGAGAAAGTCGTAGTCTGGTGGCCCAATGGTTACGGTGAGCAGAAACTTTATCCGCTTCACTTCACTCTGAAGGCCTGGTTGGGTACTGAGGGGCCCGAGGTTCGCTCCAAGACTAAGTCGCACAAGTCCCTCCGAGTGGGCTTTCGCTCCCTTGAATTGGTCGAAGTTCCCGCTCCAGACGGCATAGGAAATACATTCCTTTTCCGAGTCAATGGAGTAGAGATGTTTATGAAAGGCAGTAACTATGTACCATCACATATCCTGCCCGAAATGCAAACGAAGGAACAGAGTAAGTTTATTTCAAAAACAAAGATTGTTCACAGGAAAATCGCATAGAGATTGCACACGTCCTCCACCTAGCGGCGATTACATAAATTTCTCATAACTATTAATGAACGTTCCGATTTGTAAAACTGTTTCATGTAGATGGGTAATGAAAAACAAAAAATAATACCATTTATATGTACATCTACAAAATCTTTAAACAATACAAGATTCTTTATGTATCACAACAAATTTCCATTTACACTTTTACAAAATATTAAAAAATGCGGGCGCTAGACAAGTTTTTTGCGTTATGCCCGTTTGTAGGCGTACAGTGGGCGTGGCATCCTGCTGGAATAAACTGGCGCTGCGCAAGATGCTCTAGTATCTGCATGTCAATTCCAACATTCTAGCTGTTATAGTTGCCGAGATCTCAGGACAGATAGACAGACGGTCTAGTTCGACTCGGCTAGTGATCCTGATCAAAAAGATTTTACTGTGGACGGGAGTCCACGTTGTGACGAATCGCACCGGGAGTCTGCGCGAGGAGACTACTATACATAGACGCAAGAATTAAAAATGTGCTACTATAGTCCGATCGAAACAAGTACTACACCGATTGAAAGGTATTGTGATTTTCTTCAACTAACGGTATAAAGACCTTTAATAAGTCAATTGGTTCGAGAGAAATTGCGGTGAAAGTTAATTTAGTGGAGTTAAGCTAGGGCAACCGGAGAAGTAAGGTGTACTGACCTTTTAATTTTTTCATATTCATATTAAACAATTTTTGTCACAAAAAATAATATCAAAAATTTTGTATGTTATTACCTATTATTACCTATTAGATTATACAAAATTCGTAAGTCTTAGCCTAATTGGTTAAAATATATCATAATAGGATTTTAAAATAAAAATCGCAAATAACTGATATTTACGGTCCCCGCTTATTAGGAAAACGAATCTAATATACCCTTTTACTCTACAAATAACGCGTGTAATTAATTTCGAACCTGTAAGTCTTCGATCTGTACGGAAAAAGTTGTTATAGATAGAATGCGATTTTTATACTCTTGCAGAGGATATAATGATTTCATACATCTTAATTTTAAAGCTATCGCGAACCTTCCCAAAATTCTTATATTTATTGCAGGTAGTATATAATTCGGAACGAGCCGGATCGGTCAACTATATCATGTTCCACCTATAGGAATTATTGGGCAAATAATGAAAAAACCTTTTTAAGGTCGTTTGCCCTATTGTTATACCCGTTAGTCGTAGAGTAAACTACGAGTAAACTACTACTAGATTCGTCAGAAAGTATGTAACAGGTAGAAGGAAGCTTTTTCGACCCCATAAAGGATATATATTCTTGATCAGGATCACTAGCCGAGTCGATCTAGCCATGTCCGTCTGAGTTCTTAAATATTGAAATACAAAAAGAATTATGAAATTAAAATCCTGTTTAATGGATTCCTCAGGAAAGCTTACATATATTTGTTTTTTGAAAGCATATAGGTGAAAGGGTACAGTTTACAGGCGCATTCTAATTCCGCAATGCAATGCACCTAGCATGCACAATTGCCTTGGAAAATGTTTCGACGTTATAACGTTATAAACATATAACAGTCAAAATTTTTCCATTCAATCAAGATTGCACACCACATGCAAATAAGCTGTTAATAATAATGAACTATTACGCCATAGCAACATCCCAAAATATCTTGATAAGACTGCCGTGGGAGCATTGTATGTACAGAGCTTCCGAAATTAGGAAAACTAAAAACTAATTAAAAAAACATTAAGATAAGGTTCCATTTTAATATACTACCGTATATGTTTACCGAAAACGAAGTATTATTTTGGCATTAATCATCCGATCGTTCCTATGGAAGCTTCATGATAACGTCGTCCGGTTTTTAAAAAAATGTATTTGAAATTCTGAAATACTAAAAATTGATATTCCCAAGATTAAAAGTTAGCATGTCACAGAAGTTAAACTTATACCCGTTACTCGTAGAGTAAAAGGGTATACAAGATTCGTCGGAAAGTATGTAACAGGCAGAAGGCAGCGTTTCCGACCCCATTAAGTATATATATTCTTGGTCAGGATCACTAGCCGAGTCGATCTAGCCATGTCCGTCTTTCCGTATGAACTCTGAGATCTAGAGCTAGGCTATTGAGATTTAGCATGCAGATTCCTGAGCTTCTTGCGCAGCGGAAGTTTGTTTTAGCAGGGTGCCATAACTCCCACAATCCGCGAAAAACTGCAGCGTCTACAGTTGTTATGCTAGAAAAAAATGTTAACTGAAATGTATTCTTCTCCTCAATACCTATCGGATGACCTAAAAAAAATTGGCCACGCTTACTCTGACGCCCACGAACTTCAAAAAGTCGTCAATTTTAAGGCTGATATTTCGGAAACTATCAAAGATACAGAATTGGGATTTCAGATTTAGATTACGTAGCCTTGTCCGCAGCGCAAGTTTATTACGCGAATATGCCACGCCCACTCTAACACCCAAAAGCCGCCCAAACCTGTGGCGCCCACAAATTTCATGCTGGCAAACAAATTTGACATGAAATCGACATTGACTATTTTCAAAGTTAAATATTTAAATGCAGATGACATAATTATTCCACAAAGCCATTTATGTATGGAAATTCGATATTCAAGACCTTTTGACCGAAGTAATTTGTGGAACCGTTTTGTGACCGTTTTTTGTCATTGATTTTAGTCTTGCATAGGTTTGTAGAAAATGTGCCTTATCTAAACTTTAAAAGCTTATTACCTTGTCAACAGGCTCTGTTTTCAAATTGTCATACCTATACAAGTTTGTGGAATGATTCTGCTTTGCCTTGCATTAAAATATTTAACTTGAAAGGTATTCAATGATTTTTTGATTATTTTTTTGCAAAGGCTTGCATAAAATGGGCCTCCACCTAAACTTTAAAATCCCATTACTTGCTCAAAAGGACTGTTGCTCCTTTGTAAATGCGTCTTTTAAGAGCTGGAATGCTTTCAGCTGAGCCTCAGCCATTCGAAATGGATCTTCTTCCCGAAGAAGATCAGTTAATGGGCGGACGATCTATGAATAATTCAGAACAAATTTTCTGAAAAATTACGTCAATCCCAAAAAGCTTGGACTGCCCTGACGTTTTTAGGTATCGACAACTTTCTGACCGCTGCGGTTTTTTCTTCACCTGGCCACAGATTTCCGTTCTAAATGCTGCGACCCAAAAAGTAAATTCGAGTTTGCAGGAAATGACATTTCCGCCACTTAATCTTCAGTCCAAACGTTCCCAATGCGTCTAAGACGAGAGCCATTTTCTCCAAAAATTTTTCCGCGGTATCGGCGTGAATTATAATATTGTCCATGTATAAATCGAGGATATCTTTGTTCATTAACTCCTGAAACACGTAGTTTACGTAGCGAATAAAAGCAGCAGGTGAATTCCGAAAGCCAAAGGGGTTCTGTTTAATTCGTAAAGTCCTGATTTGGTTAAGAAGGCTGTGTATTTCTTGCTCTCCTCTTCTACCGCCACGTGAAAAAACCAATTTTTCAAGTCCATGACGCTAAAGTACTCCGCTTTCTGCAGCTTCTTGAGCACATCGTCGATTACGGGGACAGGAAAGCAGTCAACGCATATACGACGTGTGCCATCTTTATTGTTTACTAGAACTATTCGGCTGGTAAAGTTCAATGCAGACGGACGTATGATTCCAGCAGCTAACCACTCGTCGATGGACGTATGGTTCCAGCAGCTAACCACTCGTCGATCTGTACTTCCACATCCTTCTCCTCGGAAATTTCAATTTGGCTTGGCGACTGACGAAAAAGAACAATCTCACCATCACGAACTTGAGCTTTACTGGAACCTCTGCTACATGGTTTTCTGCCTTATAGGTTTTAATCATTGTCAACACTTCCTTTGAGTACGATTTCGTCAATTGCATTACTAATATTACAAATACTCATCTGTTTTGATTCCTCACAAGCTTTCTCCCTGGGAATCTGGGAAGAAAACTTGTATCCTTCGGCTGACAATGAGAGGTTGAACTTCGAGACAAAGTCAAATCCAAGCAGAGCAGAATGTCTTCATCCTGGACAACTACGAGCTTATGTTAGTTATTTCCTCATCTACTGCAATATCAGCCGAAAAGCAACCGACTGGACATGTGATTTTTTTCCCAATCCGCGCAGCTTTGACAAAAATCCCTCCAGAGAGACATTTGGAATTTGAGCGAAGACAAAATTGCTCAATATGGAATTTCAAGACAAAGTCAAATTCAAGCAGAGCATAATTTCTTCATCCTGGACAACTACGAATCTTTTTTTCCAATCCGCGCAGCTTTGACAAAAATCCCTTCAGAGAGATATTTGAAATTTGATCGAAGACAAAATTGCTCAATATGGAGACGTCTGCTCCGGTATCCACCAAACATTCCACCTCTATGTCATTCAGCGTAACCATCTTTGTTGCATCAAAAACATTTAGTAGCAGCCTTACGCAAATGGTCACTGGATCCGCAATAACAGCAGTGACTCTTTGGCGTCCAGTTACCTTCTCTTGACGCGTTTGAAAAACTCATACTGCTCTTGCAGCTCTCTGATGGACTTGCAACTGTAAAGCGTGTATCTAAAGTCACATCTAAGCTTTAGGCCGTACACGATGTAGCGGATTACAGACCGCGCATCTATGCTTCCAATAGATGCAATGTTTCTCATCTGCAGAAGATACTCGTGAAATGATTCCTACTTGTGTTTTTTCCGATCACGGAGCTGCTCATGAACCTCGGCGCTGCACGTATATTGGCGACTGAGCTCGACCCCTAGCAAATTACGGAGCGCGTCTTTTTCTTGATTACTCATTTCTTTAACTGCTGCTGCGACAGACATTGTTTAGTATTGCTGTCTTGCTTTTGGTATTGGTGTTTCAGAAGGCTTCCGCTTTGTTGCCTTCTCTCTCATCTGCGGACTTAAATTTTTAATTGTGAGACACCTTGGGACAGCTTGGGCCACTTTTACTGTTCAAACTAGGACGACTCCCAAATGTGAGACTCCCAAATGTGAGTGAAAGAAAACAAA